TTTAATGTTACAACAGATCACCATAGTCTTCTCTGGTTACACAATCTCAAAGATCCTTCCGGTCGTTTGGCCAGATGGGGTGTCAAGTTGATACAATACTCTTTCAATCTTACTCATAAGCCTGGAGCTCAGAACGTAGTCCCAGATTTTCTGTCTCGAATACCTCCTTCTAACAGCCATGAAGTCGAGCCTGAAGTATGTTCGATTGATATAAAACCTGAAAATACAGTAAGATTTGTCGAAATCCTGATGCATATGCTCAGTTTAAGATTGAAAATAATTTAATTTATGAGTATGTCCCTTCTAGAGTACCATTAGAGTCGAATTTAGTTGAATGAAAAGTTATTGTTCCAAAATCACAGAGAATTTTCATTATAAAAGATTCACATGATCCGTCTACCTGTAGTCATTTCGGTTTTTTTAAGACCCTTGCGAGAATACAAGAACACTACTATTGGCCTAAGATGAGAAGTGACATTTTAAGGTATGTCAAAACATGCAGGGTGTGTCAGTCGCAAAAATTATCGAATACTCCTCGTATGGGACTCATGGGAGCTGAACGTACAGTGAAATTTCCTTTTCAAACTATTGCTGTTGATATCATGGGACCATTTCCTAGATCTTCTAGAGGTTTCACCTACTTGTTAGTAGTTTCTGAGTTTTTTACAAAATACACACTATTATGTCCTATGCGTGATGCTATAGCACCTAGCGTTATAAAGTTTATGGAAAATCAAGTATTTTTGGTATTTGGGGTACCACAGTTCATAGTTTGCGATAATGGACAGCAATTTGCTGGAAAACTATTTAAAAAATTAGCTGACACTTATAATGTTCAAAAGATATGGTACACCCCTCGTTATTCAGCTCAGTGCAATTTTGTAGAGAGAACTAACAAGACCATAGGTCAAGCCATTAGAAGTTATGTAGATGAACATAAGGATTGGGATAAGGAAATTTATAAAATTCGACAGGCAATAAATACAGCCACACATGAGGTCACCCAGTATACTCCAGCATTTTTGACTTTCGGTCGAAATGTCCCTATCTCTGGCAAATATTATGGAAATCCTCCTAGAACCCAAGATATCGAACTTTTACCTGATGACAGGGATAGTTTTGTTCAGGATATCAAGGGGCTTGGTGATGTCTTTAAGACAGTACAGGAAAGATTACATAAGGCTTATCAGAGGAATGCGACATCATACAACCTCAGAAAGAGAGATCATATATTTGAAGAAGGAGAAAAGGTGTGGCGGAGAAATAAGATACTTTCAGATGCTTCGAGCAAGTTTAGTGCAAAATTAGCACCCAAATATGTTTTGAATATTGTTAGGAAAAGAATATCTCGTTTAGTATATGCTTTAGATCATATCGATACTTCTCCCGCTGGGGAATGGAATATAAAAGATTTAAAACGATATTTTGGATCCAATTCAGATGTTTCTGTTGGATAGTAATGTTTATTCAGACCATAATTATCTTAGATTTGTCTACAGAGTACTTCTGTTAGTTGGTTTTGAGTAAAAATTTTTTTGCAAAATTTTTTGGTGCGTTGGTGCACAGATGAATTTTTTTGGTGCGATGGTGCACAGTTAGTTTTTTTGGTGCGTTGGTGCACAGACAGATTTTTTATGGTGCGTTGGTGCACAAACAATTTTTATGGTTTCTGCAGAACCTATAGTTTGAGATTCAATGTTCTCCTTATAAAGTAAGCTTACTTGACCCTTGTTATTGCATATTTGAGATTAGATATGGAATATTATTTGACACTAGATACTTCATACTTGTCACTTGACACTTACAAGTTAATCAGTGATTTTGTTCCCTTATGAAGATTCCTGAAAGGTCTGATCAACCTGAACTTCATAGTTTCCTTGATGTAAATATTTGTTTGTCATTTTGAAAATTTTGTAAATACTTTTCTCATCAGAAATAGATTCATGTAATTGGACTAGACTTACCGATTTAGAATTTAACCAGATTCAGACCATAACCAGATTTAGACTTATTATCCAGATTTAGACTTATTTCCAGATTTAGACTTATTATCCAGATTTTGACTTCTATCCAGAATTAGATGTTTTCAAGATTAGATTCTTACTTGGTAGTGAACTATGTTTTACTTCCATTTGAGGAACGTTTGGTACGCGCAGGTACTATTGTCCAAAAATTGCATGAATTTCTAACTTCTATCAAAAATTGTTCCATAAATTGACCAATTTTTTCTCTTAGGAGAGGGGTATATGTAGCATTTGAAATTGCTACAAAATCATTTTTAGTTATCGTTTGCATGAAAATTCAAGCTAATTTGCTTTAGTGCAACATTTGGAGTTGCAAAGAATCATTTTCATTTTTTTGTTTCATACATTACCATTTTGTAAATATTAACCTTTCAGATCTAGACAAGAACTCATACTTACAGAGAACATTCAGTCTGATACTTGGTAAATAATCCTGAAGTACTTGAATGTAACTTTTAATGAACCACTTTATCACACAGTTTTGAATAATCGCATAGAAATAATAACAGTCATGATTAGTAATGTCTTCTGAATTTTTATGTGCCGATGGGAGGTGATGATATAAGCTGCAGGAGTCTTTGATTTCTGGCGTTCTGATCCTAGAGGCCTAGAATTCGAAGAAATAGTTCAATGTTGTTGTCCCTTTTCGAGAGTAAACAAACAACTTACCATGGTGTTCGCAGGTGTGATGAAGCCCATGTCGCTGGTTTATTTCAGGGATTATTCAAGGTGATTTTTCGATCTGAAATGGTATTTTCGGTGTTGAAAGAATTATTTTCTTTATTTTCTGGAATTTATTTTAGGGTTATAATATTGTCATCCAAACGTCATTGTCCAGTATGTCACTCATCTTCTGTGAGTAGGACTTAAGTACAATCTTACAATGTTGTGACATAGTACTACCGAAGGAAAAAGAAGACTCTTCTTTTTTTCTTCTTTCTTCGGTACTTCTTCTGTTAGTTTGGACCTAGTAATTCTGGTGTTTTTCTTCTGACCAATGAAATAATAGGATTTCATATTTGGCGCTGAATTTTGGCAGGAAGCACTCCTTTAGATAAGATAAGTTTAGATAGGGAATTTTAGGAGGAGATTTCCGGTAGCTATCTCGAGGTTTTTTCTCGGCGACCGTCATGGTGTGCACTTGAGCCAGTTTGAGCATTTTTTCTTTTCTCGGTATAATCCGTAGAAACCCTTCGGGGGATTTGAATTTTTTTGAAATTGTTCAAAATATCAGTGATTCTGGCCATGGACCTGTGTAGGATTTGTTCCCACTTTTCGGAGACTGCCTGATGTCCCCAGGAAGCCCTGCAGCCGGCCATTTCAGCGTATGAAGACTCCAAACTAATAGTTCTTCAAGTCCTTCCTCCCTTCTCAGAAGGTAAGTCATATGCAGAGCAAGGACTATCAACTTGGTGAGCAATATTTCCCTTTGATATCAGTTTTTTTCTGTTCTCCACGTGTCTGTCAAGAGGTTATATCAACCTGTTAATTTTTTAACAGGGTGTTAGGGTATGGCTTAGCTGCCTTCGGCTTCTAGTAGCGAACAGCTGAGGACCACGTCGCTCATTTTATCCTGACCAGAGTCTACAGGTGGCCCAGATCAAGCCCAGTAGTAACCGGTCAAGCTGACCGGCTGAGCCACACCACTGAGCCCTACTGTGGACTGTGGAGGTCCATCAACTTCTTTTTGTTAATGTCTTCGTGCCTGTTTTCGTCTTCATCTTCACAAGCATGCCTACCCACCATAGTGGACCTTGAATAGGGGTAATCAGACCATTGGAGAGGATCCTCCAATAGACCAGGTTTTTTTTTTGTTTTTTTTGTATTCCATCATTTTTTCAAATCTGAATTTAATATTTCAACATTTTGATCATAACCATATTTAACATGTATGAAGCTCTTGTGAAGCTCTCCCATAGTACTATGTGACAGCGGTTTTAGGTTTTTTACAGATTATTGTCTAATCAATTTTTTTTTTGAGATTTATACTTCCCATTTTATAGTTGGAATATGATGATTGCTATACCCTAACGCTAGTCATATGAAGAGGTGGTAATTGTCATGGTGTAGGTTGATAAACTTTGATAACATACAATAATTTTGAATTTCTCCTAGAAACAGTAATTTTATGGTTATGATATTTTATGGTCATGTTACTTTAAGATATTTCATGATAACACATGCTACATATTCAACAGTGTTCGATCTGCCTCAAAACAGTCAACACACCCTGAGATACCTGCGATTTAGCCAACCGCTCAATAAGTGTGTTAGCCAAAATCAGTACCTCATTATCGAGCGATTTTCGAGCGATTACCCCAGCGATTATTACCAGCGATTATTGTATAGTCATTATAGTGTATTAACGATTGGGCCGACCGGTCAATAACTGTGCCAGCCCAATTAAATACCGATAATTTCTATACACTTATTTTTCCTTTCTTTGAATATTTACTAACATTGTATTTATTTCAGAGAAAGCAGCGTTATTGTCATTATAGTGTATTAACGATTGGGCCGACCGGTCAATAACTGAGCCAGCCCAATTAAATACCGAATAATTTCAATACATTATTTTTTCTTTGTATATTTGCTAACACTGTATTTATTTCAGAGAAAAGCAGCGACTTTGAAATCTTATAGCCTGCCGGCCTTTCAGGCGGCTATAAGGCCTCAAAACCCAGCAGTTAGATCTTGTCTACGTGTCTAGGTGTGAAAAGCAAGGTAAGGCAAAGTCAGCACTCGATAACTCACTTTGAGTTATTAGAGACTGTCTTTAACCGTGCCCCTACACAAGGGCTTCCACATCAAGACTCGGCCTGATCGGAGCCTAGCAGAGAAAATTGGTAAGGAAATAACCCCTATCCCTCAATAGAATTCGTAAACAAAAAAAATATTCTCCCAAGGGGACAGCCATGCACGGCAAACCCTAGGGAGGAAGAACAATTATAGAATCGAACACACTAATAGATAAATATGTCGCCCATTGTGCCAGACAGCGACATGTTTGTCGACAAAATCAACCCTAGCAGCAAGGCGAAAAAGAAAACCGCTGTAAAAGTGGGCAGAAACTCGGGAAAAACCAAGGCAGCCCGAGAGACAAATTTCAATGCCATAATTCAATCGCTGAGAAGCCAAAATGAGCAACAGCAAACATTGATCGAAAACCTAACGAAAACAATTAAACAGCTGAGGAAAGACCTTGAAAACTCAGCAGACATGCACTTGTTAGCTAGACAAGCTAAAATCAAAGCACAAGAGTGCACGAAAGCCAGAGAAGAAGGAGCGGCAGAAACCTTCAATGCTCTAGCGAGTATGATCCAAGAACAGACTGCCAAGGCAGTACCAACAACCGAGGAAACCACCCCTCCTTCTCAAACCCCCCCGAAAACCGTAATTTCCATACCGGAAAAAATGGAAATCGAGGAGGAAAAACAGAAGGGACTAAAGAGGAAAGCCCCATCAAGCCCTCCCCCAAAAGCTTCGACCTCAACCGCAGCCCCCACCCCTCAAAAAGGCAACGACGAGCCAGTCAAAAAAACCGCTATTCCCCCGATTGTTCTAAAAACACCGGGAGAATGGACCACGGTTAAGAGAAAGCTAGAATCTAATGGAGTTAAAGTTTCATTAGTGAAACTCATGAGAGGAGGTTTGAGAATTCAAACCAACAACGCCAATGAGTACCGAACCACCACAAAAATCCTAGAACAGGACAAAAATGAATACCATACTTATTCGCTCCCCGAAGACAAACTACTGAGTGTAGTGATGAGGGGAATCGATATGAGTGTGGAGATTCCAGAAATAGAAGACGATCTAAAAAATAAAGGGCTTGAAATCAAAACAGTCCATAGGATGAAATCCTATAGGACCAAGCTGGATTTACCGCTTGTAATAATTCAAGTCCCAAAATCAGAAACCATAATCTGGGAAATCAAGGATTGCTGTAGTTACATAGTAAGAATTGAGGCCCAAAGACAGATCAAAAATCAAATCCCACAATGCCATAGATGCCAGAAGTACGGCCACAGCCAAAGGAACTGCAGATGTCTGTACAGATGCGTCAAGTGCGGAGATCAGCATCCCACAGCCGATTGCACGAAATCCCGCGATACTGATGCTAAGTGCGCCAACTGCAGTGGCAAACATCCTGCCAACTACCGAGGATGCCCGAAATGCCCGAAACCAGCAACAAAAGCAACCCCTCCAAAACCCAATCAAAAACCCACTCCGAAAACCCTCCCTGGAAGTGGAAATACACAGCCAGGAAAATCCTACGCAGCAGCGACTGCACCCAAACCCCAACCCCAAAAGGCTCACAGAGCCCCACAACAAACCCCAACCCCAACCCTACCCCCGGAATTCATGGATCTCATCCAGAAGGCCATAGAAACCGCAGTGCAACAAACAGTTGCACTTCTCAGCAAGCCATCACCGGTCAGAAATGGCGCATAAAAATGACTGCTTTTCCATTGGCTCCTGGAACATAAACGGGGCCAAGGCAAGAAAAGTGGAACTGGGAGAATTCCTATCCAGGAATTCGGTGGACATAATGGCGCTCCAGGAAACGCGACTCACTCCAGGTAAGACATTCAATATAACTAATTATTTTGTTTACAGGAACGACCGGATCGGCAGGAGAGGCGGAGGCACCTTACTGCTGATCAAAAAGGACCTTGATCATTATCCGATCAACACCCCAGCACTGGTATCCCTGGAAGCAACCATGGCGACTGTGAAAACACGAAACCACGGCGACATCCAGATAGTATCAGCCTACCAATCCGATACCCAAATAGATATCCAACACTACACACAAGATATACACAAGGTTATATCTGGTCGAAATCCAACAATAGCAGTCGGTGACTGGAATGCCAGACACCAGAATTGGAATTGCGCTACCTCAAACATGAAAGGAAGACAACTTGTAGAATACCTTGAAGAAAGCGAGGACACCACTGTGCTAGCCCCAGCAGAACACACCAGATATGACCATAACAACACTCCGATCACAATTGATATAGCCCTCCTGCGAGGACTTGAAATGCCAGTTGAAATTGCCACCCACCATGACGGAACATCTGACCACGACCCAATCCTGCTGCAAGTAGGAGAAGGAAATGAGCCGGACCAACCCATCGAGAGGAACAAAATCAACTGGACCATGTTCCAGAGAATATTCCATGACCGAATGGGCCCAATGCCCATAATAGTCACAGAAAATGACCTGGAAGAGGCAACAAGAACCTTCGAGCAGGACATCAAAAATGCTATGGAAGCAAGTACAACAATCATACACACCACCAGATGGAATCTACAGCATGATCTACCACCAGAACTACGCGAGTTGCTGAGGGAAAAACGGAGAGCCAGGAAACTGTCCATCAGAACCAGGCAACCCGAACACAACCAATTAGCAAGGCACCTAGCCCGAGAAGTAAGGAGAGAATTGCAAAATTACAAAAACGAACGTTGGGCAGAAAAGCTAATGTCGTTAAGTCCGGAAGAAGGGAACTTCTGGAGCATGCAGAAGTTACTCAGGAACCGTCCCACCCCCATATTACCCCTCCAAGGACAGCACGGTATCGCCTACACGAACGAGGACAAGGCATCGGCATTTGCCGACACCTTAGAGCGCCAGTTTGTGGAAAACGTTACCCCAAATGACGATCTGCAGCACGAAGCCCGATGTAGACGAGCAATTAGGCGACTCAGAGACCATGATGCTTCCGTTGATATCCTGCGACCAGCCACGCCGGAGGAGATCAAAAGGATCATCAGGAACCTGAAGACCAAGAAGGCACCAGGGATAGACAATATCCCCAACAAAGCCCTAAAGCAACTCCCCCGAAAAGGAATAGCAGCCCTCACAAATATAGCGAACGCCGTTCTGAGACTGAAACACTTCCCAGCCTCCTGGAAAGAAGCTTCAGTGATCATGCACAAGAAACCTAACAAAGATGCTACCCTGCCACGGAACTACAGGCCAATCAGCTTACTACCAGCACCCAGCAAAGTGATAGAACGAGTCATACAAAGCAGACTAGAGGAATCCACCACCGATCTTGGCGTTTAACCGAACGAACCGTTTGGCTTTCGAAGCCAACATTCAACGGAGCTCCAAGTAACCAGACTTGTCGACTACGCAGCCGTAGGCCTAAATAGAAGACTAGCCACTGGAGTCGTATTCCTCGACATAGCCAAAGCTTTTGACCGCGTCTGGCATGATGGACTAGTAGCCAAGATGATGATCCTGGATTATCCAATCCCACTCGTGAAGCTGATACTCTTATCTACGTGGAAGATCCTTCAGAACCAAAGCCGGTCCAGAAGTTTCAGACAGACGAATCATGCAAGCAGGAGTGCCCCAAGGAGCAGTTCTAAGTCCACATCTATACTCCATTTACACCTCAGACATCCCAAACAACAATAGACATTGCACCCTGTCATTGTATGCGGACGATACTGCGATAGCAACGAGATCCCGAATCCCAGAATACATCACTAGACGCCTGCAAAGGAGCATTGATGAACTGGGAGAATGGTGTACCAAATGGAAGATACAGATAAACCCGGAGAAAAGCCAAGCCATCCTGATCAGACACATGCGCCAAAACCCCATAGGACATGCCACCATAGGTGGCCAAAATGTGCAATGGACAAACTCAGCCAAGTATCTGGGAGTAGAGATAGACAAGCGGATGACGTTCAGAACCCATGTGGAAGAGCGCATCTGTCTCCCCTCATAGGACGCCACAGCCAAATGAGATTGGACCTGAAACTCCTGCTTATGAAAACAGTTCTCCTACCCATATTGACCTACGCGTCAGTAGCCTGGGGACACTGTGCTCAGTCACACCTGATGAGAGTCCAAAGATTCGAGAACACCACCCTGAGGATGATAGTCAACGCCCCCTGGTTCGTCCGGAATGATGCCATCTTCAGAGATCTTAACCACACCAAGATACTGGACAAGATGAAAATCCATGCCGTGAAAACATTCGCAGGAATGGAGAATCACGAAAATCCTCGGGTCAGGGAGGCGACAAACCAAGATCCTCGGTTTCGGGAAAGGCACAAACGTCCAAGAACCCAACTCTTGGACAGGTAAGCAAATTACACATACACACACACACAACACAACACAAACCCCCAAAAGAGAATAGCGGTTGATTCTGGCCCGAAACAATCACGAATTCTCACCCATTTCGATCAAATACAGGAATAGTAATTATTTCACGTGATGCAAAATCTTTATGATTCCTACTTTTCAAAAAACCAATAAGCCCAAAAGTCACGTTAACCCCACTAGAAGTCAGATTCTAGACGTCAGTCCCTGCGGATTGTCTTGCTTTTCAAATGTTTCACCCCCCTGAAACGACCGACTCTTAAAGTCACAAGCCCCATGTGGACTTTTTGATTATGAGGACCGCTGCGCTGCAGCGGGGAAGGTGGAAGGCGGTTATGGCTGTTCCTAGTCACCCTCAGTGATTAGTAATGTCCCGTACCGGGGTCTCATAACTCGATTGGGCAGATGCTACATATTCTGACATTTTGGTCTCTACACTGGTCTTCATAAACCCTGTCTATTATGGTGTTAATAAATAGGTCTGAAATTCGATATGGTTTTATTCATCAACTTGTGTTGACACTGCCATTTAAGAAGATTTTTTTCATATTTCTATTTCAGGATTAAGTTTTGGAAAATACTGTAAGTATCCAACTCATTAGTTTTCTCAATTATCCAAGTATCAGTAATTGTTTTGTAAATTGAGTGGCGCCCTCTGAACTTGAAATTTAACTATCTGCAATCACAACGAATCCACTTATCTGTTCTCTGGCGAAGAGCTGCCGTTCGCACATGTGTCTTATATTTTTATGCAATTTTGGTTTATATCAATCAATATAAAAAAGTAGGCCACAATATGTCGCAAAAATTCATAAGAATGGACAAAAAAACCAGCAACGGAAAAGTCAGCCACATACGAAATATTTGAAAATATAGCAGCCGCTTTTCGAGACATTTGGAGACGTTATCGAACATCCAGTTCATGTTTTAGAGAATTATCGTAGGTAGATACTTCATATTCCACTTGCATCTTCTTTGGGGAAGTTTTTTGAAATTCAATGAATGCTGTGATATTGAAATTTTCTTTGAAATATATACAGGGTTATTCATTCAAAATGGTCAATGTGTGAGCTAGAAATAGTAAACATCAGAATATCAAGATTCAGCCTCACATCTCACATAGAAAATGCTGTTAGTTTTGGAGAAACAGGGTGTACAAGGGAAATATTTTATTTTGGAATTCCTCATACAATAACTTTGTAAGTTTTATCTCAGCATGAAAATGGTCAATGTGTGATCTAGAAATAGTAAACATCAGAATATCAAGATGCAGCCTCACATCTCTCATAGAAAATGTTGTTAGTTTTGGAGAAACAGGTTGTTCAAGAAGAATATTTCATTTTAAAATTCCTCATACAATAACTTTGTGAGTTATATATCAGCATGAACATAGTTTTCTTATATTTTTTTCATTATAATTCGATTTTTGAATGATTTAAAGAAAATTGACCATTAAAACAAAATGGATTGTGAGATATAGAAAGCATATGATGGCAAATCAATTTCTCACCTTTATGTCGAAGACCGAAACTAGGGAATCCTGGAAACTTTGGTACGATAATCACACCCAGACTATACACTGTTTTATCACTATCAAACAGAATTTTTATCAACTCGACAAACTTCATTACCTAAAAACATTCGCTGTCTAAGATAGACTAACAAAAACTTTTGAGATGGTGTTCGCTTGAATCTCCTAATTTTGACAAATGATTCAAAATCTCCGACCCCTGAAACACCAGTAAAAATTTCGAATAGAATCGGATAATAAAATTAGAAAACTTGTCCGCTATATTGGATCTGCAATCCTGAATTTCCCAATTTTGCCGAGAGAATCATAATCTCCGACCCCAAACACCCTTATATATAAATTTTGAATAGGATAGAATCATCATCACATAACCCGTCCGCCATATTGAATCCGTCATCTTGAATTTTTTCATTTCAAGATTCATAATCTCCGACCCCAAAAAACCCCAAATACAAATTTCAAATGGCATAGAATCATAATTACGAAACTCGTGCGCCATATTGGTGGAGCCATGATGAAAAAATCATAATCTCCGACGCCGAGAACCCCCAGACACCAATTTTGAATAGAATGGGATCATAATTATTATAAAACTCGTCAGCCATCTTCAATATCCTAATTTTCACGAGAGAATCATAATCTCCGACCCCGAAAACCTCCATATACCAATTAAGAATAGAATCTAATCATAATTACAAAATACTACATAATATGAGATGAGATGCGATACTGCACCCTTCAAATTTATTGCTATTCATTGACCTCGAGATGACGGGGCACGGGACGAGTCGTGACGATTACGCGAAATCCAATGTTTTTTTCCACCCAAAAAAGTGCTCAACGCGCCTAGAAGTTCTCACTTTGAAAAAATTGTTTTTTTCATGAGTGCAATTATCATCCAAATTGTATTTCAGCAAGCAGGTCTGAATTGGAGAACAAGAAATTTGAATCATGGATTTCTACACACTGTATATATCAATATAACCCTTATATCAGTAATAGCAGTGTGCATTCGTAAGAATGAAGATATTTGAAATTAGGCAATCGTCTACGTATATACCCTATACAGAAAACACGAAATTTCTATTTATAGCCATCTGAACTTGATAAAAAATCTTGCACACATTATTTCTGAATTACACAGACTGTTTTGCCCTGAACAATGATTTCGATCCACTTCCTTGGAAGTTTTTCTGGCGACGCCAATAATGATAAGTTATATTAGTAGGAAATGAAATTAAAAAGGAAAAGAAATATTCGAAAGACAGTGTTCAAAAATGACTCATGACATAAATTTTCATTGTAGCGAGATATAGGTATTTACTTGACTTGAATGGAGTGAAAAGTGGAATCATGTTGAGCAGGCCCGTGGAGCAGTAGCTCTGGCAATACTGCACGTACATAATACAATTACCTACGATTGCATTCAATTGTGTGCCACCTATTGGTGACCTGCTGTAACAGACGAAATCGAAGAACTCTACAATAGCTGTGAAAGCTGTGATTTAATTATTTTATTCCGATTTCGACATCACACTGACACCAAGAAATAGTTGTTGAACTAGTATATATATATAGGCTATATTCGGTCGGAAAGCTGTCGCGAAAGGCCCGTCTTTAAGAGTTGTTTCGTATCTATGAGAATGGTTCAATTTACAAGCCCAAATGGACCCATTGACTTTGGAGGAGTAATGTAAAATTATAATAACAAGTATAAAAAAGAAACATTAGTTATAATTGTGTCAATTTCAAAGATAGACTCGCAAAAACTCTGTAACTCAGGAAAATTAAATGATATTTCTGAATCTCAATAGAAGATTTTTGTAGAACTCGATGAGCATTTCTCTGAACTGTTTCGTATTTGCTGCTGATTTTTTAACGAAAATGATAGGTTTTGTAGGTATGCACCTTATGACAGCTGATAAATGAAAAAGTATCGATTTGTCACCAGAACACCAAGATAATATCTTGAAGGACTCATCGAGCGCTACTCAGAACTCCCATCAGAACTATTCTGTTCTTAAGTATCATTTTTTTACCGAAACTTATAGCGTTTTCCACTCGGCTACACTGCGTGCGACTTTTGTGGGTGCAGCACTAGCAGCAGACCTCATGCTCGAAATTCGTGCGGGCATCGTGCATCATGCCAGAGCAATGTCAGTGGAACGTACAATGTACGTAAGGTAATGTACGCGTGCAAGTCACACAATACGTCACTGCAGTTTTGACATAACGTCAGCTCAATCAATTGTATATGCATAATATAATTATTTTAATCCTATGAAATGTCTTGTTTCGCCGATAATAATGAATTTGCATCATTATCTACATGCGGAGAATGCGGTTTGATGGGACCGTTAGATAAAGTTGAGCAACATTACCTCGATTCGCATTGCGTTGATGGTAATGACTCCTGCAATGAGATTGAATACACCGAAGACCCCCAACTCGAAGACCCAGAAGAATGCGAGACCGAGAATATTACATATTTAGGTGAAAAAAACCTTATCGCTGGGCCCACTAATAGGGGTCACAAGTCAGACGGAAGTAAGCAGGTAATAGAAATTCAGGTAATATCCTCTTTTCAATGTTGTAAATTGTTTTAGATAATGAATGGTGTGAAGCAGAGACCAGACTTCTGCTTGACAAGTATGAATCCTATTTGAAACACGTAGGACCGATGAAGAAATTCAAGAGAAAAAAGGATATGTGGCAACAGATATCCAAAGATATTAAGACTATATTAAATATTACAAAAACACCGACTCAGTGTGAAAATCGCTATAGAACAATATTGAAAAGAAAGAAAAAAGCTGTAGATAACAATAATCAGACAGGACGCAATCGAGTACCAGTAGAATACGAAGCAGAATTGGCAAAAATTGCTGCACTTGATGACAGCATTGAACCCGAAGTACTACGAGATAGTAGAAATGTGAAAACGGCTGAAAAGCCAGGAAATGATCAAAAATCATTGAAAAGGAAAAGGGAAAAGAGTGTGCAGGAGGTATTGATGGATATTTCCAAGCAGAAAGAAGAGGCTAGGGAAAGAAGACACAAAGAAAAGATGAAAATGCTGGAAAAGTTTTTGGAACAGCAAAATAAATAAATGTTGAGTTACTTGAGTTAACACTAAAGGAATTTTTGATAATAATTGTTACACAGAACAAATATTTTTTTGATATACAGGGTGTCTTCCAGATCGGTGCAAACCTTATAGGAGCTAACAGGAGATGTCATTTGGAACCAATTCAGCCACATTTATCTCTGTACAAAGACATACAAGATCATCTAGTTTGAACTATATTCAGATACGAAATTATTATTCAATAGAGGAAATACTTATCACTGTAACGTATTAGTAGAAAAACAAAAAGAAAAATTCACCATTATGTGTTCAAAACTTCATCAAATATTCCAAAATGATGATTATCTAGAATGCCACAAGACTTTGTGCTTAGGTATAAGTGCAAATATGTTCCCAAAGGCATCTTCTGTCGGCTCCTCAAAGGTTTGAATCAACCTGTAGGGCACCCCTGTATAGGTATAGTTATGAGGGTTGTTATGAGGGAACTTTTGTAACAATCAGATGAATTGTGTTCCCTAAAGAATTTGTATTTAGTGATGGATTTTCAAATCCATCTTCATGGTTCAAATCAAATATTAAAATAAATTATGTTCATTGCAGTTTGTTATATATACTTTTATTTTTATAAACAAATTATATTAATTTTGGCTCTTGAACATTTCATAAAACTAATTGATACGATTTTTCTATCTACAGGGTGTCCCTGGAAGGTCTGCACACAATCTCAGCACATATTCCTGAGGTCAAAATGGGCCGATTCAAAGCCACTTACCTCAGTCCGAAATTGCTTCGTTTCCGAGTTACAGGGTGGTGAAGTTGAAGAATGAAAATCGAATTGTGGCACGTGTATTACGTCAAAAATTAATATCCAGGGGTATTTTGAGATGCCGAACACCTTTTCAATGTGACCATTAGAGGGCGCTTCTTATGGATTAGAATGGTCATAACTTTTTTCTCAGTGTAGTTTCTTACTTCGTTTGTTAAAGAAATAATTTAATGAACATTTTCAAGCAAAAAAGATACTCCTGTGAACATCCACCAAAGTTAGCCGGTTTCCAGATATTTCAATTTTTAGTGTTCGACGCAGCAATGAAATATTTAAATTATTTTGAATAAAAAAGTTTGCTTTCATCTTCATGGATGTAATTTGGTGAGTGAATTATAGCAGTACAAAAATGGGTTTTTCAAAATACCTTCCTGGAGTGTCTTCACGTCTTCACCACCCTGTATCTCGGAAACAGAGCAATTTCGGACTGAGTTAAGTTGCTTCAAATCGGCTTATTTTGATCTCAGAAATATGTGCTAAGATTTTGTACAGACCTTTCAGGGATATACATAATTATTAATTTCAACTCAAAGAATATCCATTATCTATTCAGCCACTCCTTAATCACATCTCTCTTATTTTCACCCATTTGTTTCAATAGTGCATCTCTGCCAAGTTCCATGTCATTGTTAACTTCATTTCTCTGGACGCCAGGTGTCCATTCTTCAAAAAAATCATCATTTTCTATGCAAATATTATGAATGACACAGCAAGCGAGAATGAATTTTGTTATTTTGTCGACATTATGTAATTCGAGTCTTTGTAACTGACGTAACCTTCCTTTCAGTATCCCAAAGGTGTTTTCAATTAGCACTCTTGTAGCTGAAAACTTCTTTCCATAAAAAATTTGATCTTCAGTGAGATTGTCATAATTTCTGTAAGGTGTAAATAACCATTCTCGAATGGGATAAGCACTGTCTCCAAGTAAGTGATATGTATTCCCACAAATTTGTGGTAATTTCTTGGATATGAAAGACAGTTTGTATACACGAGCATCATGTATTTTTCCAGGTGCACCGATGAAAACGTCCAAGAATTTCCTTTTATTATCACATATTCCCTGGAGAGTAATCGAGGGTATGTCATGTCGATTAACATATGTTAATTTTACTTTTTTTGCAGGAGTTCTCACATGTATGGATGTACCATCAATACATCCAATCACATTTGGAAAACCTGATACCTGAAATAAAGATGTCTGGAATATAGTTATTGAATACAATCATTACTCTAAATCATTGAAATCATCCTTTTTTGACATGAGTAATATACATAGCTTAGATGCAAAGTTACAATTTGATGATTTTTCAGAAACTCAATGAGCTTTTTTGAATTGGAGTAGCACTTTCAGAGTATAGTCTCTATACATGTTTCAATCTACAATGTGTCCGTTTCCCGAGCCTCTTCAAAAAAATCCTAAACTCGTCTTATTTCAATTCCAATGTTCTATTTTCAATAATGTCACACCTGGTATACCAAAGGAACCATTCAATCAATTTATTGAGAAATATCCATAAGAAAATCAAAGTCCTCAGTAGATAATATCCAAAGTCATTCACATAACATATGTAATTCAAACCCGGTTCAAATTTCAAAGACAGGAACCTAGTAAGCTTTTCCGGCAGAATTCATCGGACTTGAAAGTTCACCTATGAGGTAATGAACTCGATAGGTACGATTATTGCTGATTCTGCTAACTCGGCAAGTATCGCCTATAAAACAATTGAAGTATAGATTTTCCGGGACATTCAATCGGAGAATCACAATCAGACAATCGAACAATCAGACTCGGTACGACGTTGATTACGAGTATGGTTTTTTTTGGGGTAACCACACTAGTGAGTGAGTAGACGTCAACGCCATGACACACATCTCCTCCCCTGCCGGAGCAGCGATTGTTGTATGGACAATGTAAGTACATTTTTGAATCAAAAACTGTTTCATTACCTTGTACAGCCCCTGTAATTGTCTCCAACCACGTTGGTAGTTAGATCCAGAGATGTAGGATTTCACTAGAAGGTGTAGCCATAGGGTCACTTTAATTTAGTCACTTCACTTAACCTTTTTTTGTCTCACTTAACCTTTTTTATTTTGCTCACTTGTTCACTGTTTTTGATCGTTCAATAAAACGTTAAACAAAACATGCACTCTTTCCTTGCCACAATCGAGTTACGAGAGTGTGGTAGTTAGGACACCCTCTTGCTGCCAAGCATAACCCCCTAAGATCACGCAGCCGGGGAGGAAGGCCCCAATGGTCGTGACACATGGTGGAGGCGCCTTGTCTCGAATCCTGAGGCTCCATTCTTCATAATGGACCTAAGTAAAATAGCATAGAAAAATATCAGTTTTTTTATTATAATTCATTTGTTTTTCCTGCTCAATAACGTGGAATGGTAGATGCTCAATTTATATAATAGTTAATAAAACATAAAAATTTTTTGGGAAATTAGGGAATTGAGGAACTGCGAAAGAGTGATAAAATATTATACGTTTGTACTGATATAGACGGGCTACCTATTCAACTTTCAGAGTTAATAGTTAGCAAAAGTCTGTGCACACATCAAGCTGATATTTTCCACTCTCAAACACAAACTCATTTTTCAAATATTATGCAATGGCGGTGAAAACCATGTGCTTGTGCGGGTAAAACTGCCATCAGGCTGGTGGAAACTACCATATCATAATATTCTTTTCGAAAACATACTTTGTATTATGCGCTGATGATGTGAACCATGTGCTTGTGCGGATAAAACTGCTATCAGGCTGGTTAGCAACATCCACAGCATAATTCATTCAGGTATCATCATTATTATTTTCGATTATTTTTCACTATGCCACGAACGAACCGTGGTAAACGTCAAAGATTGTTAATTAAGAGATTCAAACAGTCCCAAAAATCGAAAATTGTGAAGAATTTAATTGTGAAAATACCCTTGTCGTTATTAACCACTTCTATGGTAAAAAAATTGGCTTTCAGACAGAGGATACAGCAAAAATTTAGAGAACTTTTTGGGGATGAGTAATAATTTTTCTTTTTTTACATTTTTTTTTTTCTTATATTTATTGAGCAAAACAGAAAGAAACTGAGATACAGCATCATAATTTCAAGAAATCGCTTACACTCTGGATCATAACTAGAATATTTACAATTGTTTTATATATATATATATATATATATATATAGATTAGGTATAGGTTTTGTGGGGATGCAGCTGATGTGGGACTCAAAAGAAAACTCTTTTTACAAAAAAATTCCTAAAGATCCTACATCAGGAACACAACAAAGAGCTAATAAGCTAGTTAGTCAACTGAAGAAAACTGGAGAAATAAGTGATGTTATCGCCAAAACACTAACAATTTACAACTCCATATCTCCAAAATTCTATGGACTACCCAAAATACATAAACCCACACTATCTCTCAGACCAATTATTGCTTCTATCGATGCTCCTACCAGTAAACTGACAAAATTCGTAACTGATATTTTAACATCTTCATATAATTTTGATAATCAATATTATATTGAAGATTCTTTCAAGTTTTCTGAATTCATTAATGACTTTCAACTACCAGAAAATTATGTTATTATAAGTCTTGATGCAGTATCACTCTTTACAAATATTTCTGAAGACTTAGTTATAGATAGTATCAATAATAATTGGGTTAGAATTGAAGAATATTGCACATTGAGTAAAAATTCATTAATCAATGTAATTAAATTCATTTTTAAAAATACATTCTTCTCTTTGAATGGACAATTTTATCAACAAATTTTTGGAACTCCAATGGGTTCAAAAATATCACCTATTCTGGCACAATACGTTTTAGATGATTTATTAAATTATTGCATACCTAAATTGTCATTCGAATTACCATTTTTAAAAAAATATGTAGATGATATAATTTGTGCTATTCCCAAAGGCTCAGAAAATGAAATTCTTGATGTATTTAACAGTTATAATGAATATTTACAATTTACTATTGAAAATGAAAGTAATAATAGTGTACCATTTCTTGACACCAGACTTATTAGGACAGAAGAAAATAAAATTATATTAGACTGGTATATCAAACCTACTAGTTCAGGAAGATATATGAATTATTTCTCTTATCACACAGAGAAAACTAAAATAAATTTGATTCTTGGAATGAAAAATAGAATAATAAAAATATGTCATCCAAATCTTAAACAACA